CTCCCATCGCCGTTGGACTTTGCGCAGTAAGACTTGCACAGGTGTTTAAAGACCAACAGGCCTCGTGGCAAAAACGAACGAGCCAGTCTCTCCGGACTGAGAAAGAGCCTGGATCCGGCGGACGGCACAGGGTCATACAGCCGGAGGCCTTCTCAGTTGCCCCGCGGTGCCCAACTCACTTGGGCTTGTGGCCCCTGCCGTTGTCTCAGGAAGGTGAGGTCGTCCGCCAGGCGCCGAGTTTGCTGGCCGGCATCCTCAGAACCTGAAGATCGCCCAGAGTCAAACACATCTCTCCCCGCTGCCAGAGAGGGGGTGTAGTTTAAGTCGTAGCCAGGACTTCCTCCACACACACACACCCATAGGGAAACCCCCTCTTTCAGGACAATGTACAGTCCCTAATAGAGAAATAAGGGCAATTGCTGTGTGCGGGCCACACTCCTGGTGGCCTCCCTTTCACTTTTTTTTCTGATTAGCCCAGTTCTAAAAATGGGGGTAATTAATTCAACCAGACCGGCTATTCGCCAATTTCACACTTCCCATAATGCCTAGTAAGACCACCCCCTCCCCCTTCCTCGATGTAATATATAAAACAAGTTCTATCGACAAACTGGTCAACTATTGTTTTGAATGATTTCTCTAGTATAAAGCGCATGCCATAATTGCATTTTTGTTGGAATTAGAGAAAATGACGTACCTTCTTTCGATATCGATAACGGTTACGAGGTCCTAACGCTCGCCGTTGACTAATACCGCTTACGCTCTGTCAGTGAGGAAAGCTAGCGCTGTGATCCAAGCACTGATCTCTCCACGGATGTCGTAATGGCGGAGTCTATGTTGTAGCAGGCTATGGTTAACCTAATCGAAGTGGGGTCTTGTGGCGTAGCGGCAGCGTTCTCGACTCGGAACCAGAGGCCCCGGGTTCGAGTCCTGACATGCCACCGATCTTGTGCCCTTGGGAAAGGCACTTAACACGACTTTCCTCACTTCGCTCAGGTGTAAATGAGTATCGTACTGTCCCTGTGTTGGTGGCGGCATTAATATAAGTTGAAAAACTTGAGTGTGCCGTCACCACGTCTTGTGATTGCATGTTTCGGAATATAAAAAAAAAACCTAATCGAAGGCTTTAGCAAAGTTCATCACCAGGACGTCCGTTTGACGTCCATTCACCATGTTCTCATGACAAACAGCTCTTCTGTGAATTCCAGAAGATGAGATTCACATGACCTTCCTGTTCTAAAACCACTTTACCTGCTTACTGCAGGTTGGGATCTTCCAGCGAGTTGTCCAACAAATGGTCACCTCAGTCTCGCCAACGGCAAAATGTACGTGGCGCCATCCGACGAGCAGGTCGACTACGCCACGGCCCAGGCGAGATGTGCCGCGGAGGGAGGGGCGGTCGCTCTGCCGCTGGACTCGAACGAGCAGGAGTATCTTGTGTATTTCAAGAACTGTCTAGACCAGTAAGAATCATGTTTTCAATCACTGTTACACCATATAGTACATGAGCAGTTAAGTTAAATATTAAATATGATTAAAAATTTAGCCACAGATAGTACTTATCATGACCTCTACAGCATCTCTACAGCAGCTTGCTAGTCTACTGGCAGTGGTCTGTGTGTTACTCCCATACTCTTTCCCGAATGCTACGTGCTAAGTAGATTAAGGCTTAAGCAGTATATACCATTTCTAAAGTCTTTTGTATGACTCGGCCGGGGATCAATTGCAAACTCACGACCTACCGAATGCAAGGCGTCTAAGCACTCTACCCACTTGACCATTGCACTAGTACTATATACTGAGGCACACTCTACTCCTTTCTAAGACTTGGAAATACCTTAGAAAACAACATTCACCGCGAAACATTGTATCAAAACAGTACAAAACAGGTGTAAAAGGGAGATGTCATTTTCTCATGGCATCTTACAGAAATGCTCAGTTTTGGGTTGACTCAGTAGACCAGACGGAACGTGGGTTGACAGCCAGGGTAGCGCGCTCGGCGGATTCTCTGCCTGGGCACCCGGGGAGCCCGATGATCCTACAAAACTCTGTTCTCATCTTGTGTTTGGAGCAATGTCCGATAGTGAACGCAGAAACAAGTGGGCGGACGCACCATGCGGCGAAAGCTTCAGATACATATGTAAAACAAGTAAGTTTTGTGTAATATCCGTCATTGTTGTCTGTCTGTCTGTCTGTATGTTGTCTGTCTGTGCTATGGGCCATTGAGCCTGAAATAAACAATAAATAAAAATTAGCATTGTTTTATTCAACAGTTTTACAACACAATATATAAAGGTGTTTCAAACACAACTGCTTTTTCAATCAGTCTTTCGACAAAGTTTGCAAGTACGTACGTTACAATAACGTTAACGTTAACATATCGTTAACATAACGTTAACATATTGTTAACATAACGTTAACATGACGTTAACATAACGTGATAACTACGTTAACGTTAACCAACGTTACGCTAAAGTTAACGTTACCGTGGACGTAACCTTTGATATAACCTAACCGTTTGTTATTTTGACGCGAAAATTGGGATACATAACGTATCAGTACGTTACGTACATGTACGTATGATACGTACGTGGCGTATTGACTAAAAGCCGTGACGATTCTTTACGTCCGTAGTTTTGACACGGAAAATGCAGAATCACATGTACGTTACTTACCCACACGTTATGTCATGCGTGACGTATTGACGCAAAACACGTGACGCATTGACCCCAAAACGTGACGCTTTTAACGTCCGTATTTTTGATACAAAAATGATGCCATAGAAACTACCCCAGCGGACCCTGCCCGGGTTTGATTTAGCATTCTAATACTGCACGGACAGTGTTTTAAGACTTGTTGTTTTCCAGACGTGAACATAGCACGAGGGAAACCAACCCAGCAGTCGAGCACCCAGTACCACGACTCGGCCTACGCCGTGGACGGTAACCGCGGCACGAACCTTCCCGCCGACGGCTGCACCCACACGTCCCTGCCCTCCACAGCAGACCCCTGGTGGTACGTGTATCTGTATAGCCAGTATAACCGCCTTTCGGCGTAACACACCAGCTTCTGTATCTGTATAGCCGGTATAACCGCCTTTCGGCGTAACACACCAGCTTCTGTATCTGTATAGCCGGTATAACCGCCTTTCGACGTAACACACCAGCTTCTGTATCTGTATAGCCGGTATAACCGCCTTTCGGCGTAACACACCAGCTTCTGTATAGCCGGTATAACCGCCTTTCGACGTAACACACCAGCTTCGCAGGAACGCGGCGCGGCGGCAGCTGGCTACATTACACCGAACGACTTGTTACACCTAATCCTTGAACATCTAACTCTAGACATTCTTTAAAGCTATCTAATGACAATGCCCCTACTGTACTTGGTGACAGTGAGTTCCACTCTGCGATAGTTCTGGGAAAGAATGAATTCTTGAACACCTCAATCCTTTGTTGATAACTCTGGTACTTGAAGGCATGACTATTTCTTGTTCTCTACTGGGCTGGTAACGTGGACCTGATACAAGGGTTTTCTTTTACACAACAGAATTTTCTGACGTCTCGGTGCCTGTCAGACACCTTCCTCAGAGATTCTAACTGGAGTTCTGCTTCTCGCCGCTGTATGTAGCCGATGTAGGTGGCGCTTTTGCGGCGAGAACACAATCCAAATCCTCGTCCTGGGAATCCCCCACGTTTGAAATTGTGTTCTCGCCTCAAAAACGCTACCTACATCGGCTACATATAGCGGCGAGAAGATGAACTCCAGTCAGAATAAAACCCTTGTATCTTTTACTTTTTTATACCAACATTTCATGACTAGACATGGTGACGGCACACTCAAATTATATCAACTTATTTTATGCCGTCACCGACGCAAATAGAGGACAAATACGGAACAGGACAATACTCATTTCCACTTGAATTAAGTGAGGAAAGTCGTGTAAAATGTCTTTTTCAAGGTTACAAGATCGGTGGCATGTCAGGACTCGAACCCGGGACCTCTTGGTTCCAACTCGAGCACTCTGCCGTTACGCCACACGACCCCACATACTTTACTTTCCTATTTACACATACCCTGTATTTTACCAACCTGATGAAACTATCTTCGAAAGGTACGTGGACCTGCAGAGCTTCCGCGCCGTCAGCCACGTCACCATCGTGAACAGGGCCGACGCCGCCCCGGAGAGGATCAACCCCTTCCGGCTGCACGTCAGCGCGGACACGGACATTCTGTCCAGTCCGACTTGTGGAGGTGACTAACATCCATCGATCTCTCTATCCATACATACATCCATACATCTATACACCCATCCATCCACCCCTCCACCCATCCATCCATCTATACACCCTCCATCCATCTATACACACATACACCCATCCATCCATCTATACACCCATCAATCCATTTATACATACACCCATCCATCCATCCATCCATCCATTCATCCATCCATCCATCCATCCATCCATCCATCCATCCATCCATTCATACATACATACATACATACATACATACATACATACATTCATACATACATACATACATACATACATACATACATACATTCATACATACATACATACATTCATACATACATCCATGCATACATCCATACATACATCCATTCATACATACATACATACATACATACACCCACTCATCCATCCATCCATAAATACATACATTCATACATACATACATACATACATACACACATACACACTGCACATACGCGCGCGCACACACACGCACATACACGCACGCGCACACTGTAAACACACATCAAATCTGTCCACACCAATGTACAAAAATAAATACACTGACAAATGGGATGTACATGCATTGCATGGCTATTATTATGAAGTGTCAGAAGAGACATAGTCAGGAAAACTTACATCTGAATGTTGCCCTCATTTTCAGCATGTAAAGTTGATATGATTCTGCCATCAGAAGGACATTCTGTGACTTGTCTAAATATTTATATTAAGTAGACAATTTTTTCGTGTGGAAGCAAGCGTGACTACCTTGGTACAGTACTACTTCATTCCATACAGCATTTCTACTGTGTAGAATGATAAACTTGTAGTGAGCATTTGAAAAAAAAAGATCTAAACCACTGCTATAATTGCCGGTCTTAAGTTTTACTTTGTTGGTTTGACTGCGGATGGTCGGAGAGCCGCTGCACAGTAGTGGTGAGACTCCCGCCTGTCGCCTATGGACATCCTGAAAAAAGCAATCAGAATTATCAGGGATGAGCTGTGGAATGATTTAGTTAAGAGCAATGATAGTCTGCCGCCTTACTCTGATGGGCACTTATAATTAAGCAGTGACATGATTGCTGGATATATCAGGAAATAGTACGGATACAATACTAGTAGGTACCTGGAGCAGCCTGGCATATGAAGTAATACAGCTTGTAGCACAATGCGTCGGCCCACTTGTCTTTCAGCCATTTGTAATTGGAGTAAAGGACGCAATGTTGCTTGCCGAAAGCGTTGTCCGGTTGTCCCGAACCCCAGGCGTTGTACGACCCAAGTGCAGAACCGTCAATCCACTCAAACCTTCCCTCTTCGCGCTGATCGTGCAGGCCGATCCAGAAGCGCTCATTGTTGGGCACAGCCTTGTACAGGGAGACCAGGAAGGTGTTGGTGTCAGCGTCTCGAGGCATGGCGAGGGTGCCGCCGTCTTCGCGACAGGCCGCGGCCGCTTCGCTGAAGGGCTTGCGTGTGTCGAATGCCTTGTAGCAGATTCCACGCCACATTGTGTAACCTTCGGGACAAGATGCTGAAAAACACGTTTTTTTTTCAAAAACAGGCAAAAGATGTTGAAAATTGTGACATACGTGCAATATATTCTTCACCAACATTAAATCTAGGAGTTGTATTTGATAACAGACAACCGTGCGTTTGAAATATAACATATTGCCCCACACACAAACACACAAACATGTGATGTAATGGTGTCCCAAAATACTTTTTTCCAACAAATGAATGTTGGCAAATAGACTAACATATAGAATTAACATAATGGCTGAAAACCAATTTACGTAAAGTCTTCCCAATTGCGTGAAGACGCGGCTCAATGGTGGCGGCCCGGTTGCGCTCGTTGTCCAGGTCGCGCTTCAAGGCGTCTTGGTAGCATTTCAAGGCGTCTTGGTCGCGCTTCAAGGCGTCTAGGTCGCGTTTCAAGGCGTCAACAGTGGCGGCCCGTTGGCGTATTTCGTCTTGGACGCGTTTCACAGTTGTCGACAATTGAGATATTTCCTATGAACGTATTTACGTACGTCAGAATACCGAACGTAAGAAGCAAACTTACCCAAAAATGCAGAAAATTAGCACCCTCCTAAAAAGCAGAATAAGAATGAGAAAAATAGCTGGACAACAAGCTTTACGGTACATGACTGTTACCTGTTTGGTGCTGAACGTCAGAGGGGCGAGTCCCACGGCGCATAGGCTCAGTAGCACGGCGATGCCGGCGGCTAGGCAGCTGCGGCGGGCGCGGAGGAAGCTACAGACACCACGGCGGCCGCTCGCTCCACCCGGATACGCGCGGTCTGGTAGGAAAAACGTACGTCGCTCAGGTTTTTGTTTAAGTCAACATTTACGCATAGTGATGTTCAGTTTAAGTAAATATGTCATGAGTATAAAATACCCGTAATTTACCCCTACGGAAAAGTAGCGTTTTCGTATTGATTGTGCAAATTAGACCCTCATTTGCATAGTTGGTGTCTGTTAATGGTCCACCTGCCATACAATATAGATGCTATATGTATTAAGGTTCCATTATAAAAAAAGCAATGAAATTAGAGGATTTTTTATTACCGATGCAAATTAAGTGCTCATTTACATGTATTTCAGCCTAAGCCAGCTACTTCCCTAAAATTGTTCATTTTTATAATCATACCAAATATCATGGCAATCCATCCAGGGCTTCTAAACTTATGCTGACTACAAATATGCAGAAACACACACAGCCCTTATCAAAAATTTTACAATGCAATAACGCTCCCGCAGTTTTGAATTCAAAACAAACTGCTTGGGGGACCAAACCTACGAAAAAAAAACAGATATAATCCCTACCTAACGATCCTATTTTTAGGATCCGTAGATTTAATGTCACCAAATTTACCCATACAGCAAAGTATGCAATAGTCGGTCGGTGATTATATACCCTCTGTACAAGTGTATTTTCTTCTGGTGGTACAAATATCCACTGCAATAATAAAAGGCAGGTATGAAAAGCGCCGGTTACCTGCAGACGTTGCGTAACCTTTCACCGCCTCGGCGTCTTCATACGTGTGTGAAGACGTGTCCTGGTCTTCCCGCTGCTTGTCAGAAGCGCCTTTGCCGTGGCGAACACACCCGCGAGAACCACTCTGACGGACGGGACGGGGTTGGGGCGGCGGCCCGCTGGTTTGGCGGCTGCCGGGGCCGGACACAGGCAACCGGACAGGCTCTGCCTGCTCGTACATTTCGACCGTACTGTGCAGACTGTATTGTTGCGCAGTGTATAGCTGTGAAAAAATCATGAATATAGGAACTACTACCTTAATTAGTCTGCAAAAAGTCACGCCACGTTTTCCATTATTTAGCAGAATGACGTTACATGGGGTGATGTGATGGCATTTTGTTTTTCTGCAAGAGGCAGACTCATTTTCGTAGAAAAAGAAGTTAATCTAGGCTTGTAGCAGAAACATCAAACAGATCTATTCAAACATACAGGAGAACTCTTAATGTAATCCTTAAATGCTCAAGACTTGTGCGCAGGAACCAACGTTGCCACATACACATGTAGCAGAGATGCCCCCCTCCCACTTCTTTGGTTGCCGGCAAAATAGTAGAAATTTGGCTAGATGGGGTGAAAATAACTACAGCAATACTCCTACTTCTTTTTTCTTCCTTTGAAATATAATTCTGAAGTGGAACAAACGGTTTTACAGGCTAAATATCTCCTTTCTCGGTCTATCTGCATTTCATACCTTCACCCCAGGTGATATTCAATTCCGTACAACGCCCAAAGGCTGGGAATAAGAATTATTGTCCTGGTGGAGGTTTCTAGTTCATTCAAATTTCTAGTCACGTACGTTTGGGTATAATTTGCCCACGAAAAGACATCTCTCGATAATGTTTTCACTGTTAGATCGCCTAAAACGTTTTGTTGTGTAACAAATACATGACGGAATGAATAAACATTGATATCAAAAACATGACACCCCTCCCCATTTCAGGCCGTTGTTCATGTTTTTAGACGTTTTACGTTATCATGTTGAGCCTGTTGGATTTGGATAAAAATCCTTACCCTTCCATTCAGAAGACAAAATACCACAGTTAAGACCTGGCTTTATATTCCAAGGGATGGTTGTTAAAATCTTGATCATTATCGATATTGTGACGTTACGTTACTGCGTAATAATTTGTGAATATACCTTAAAAATTAAACCTGCTAACACCGCACAAACACACACACACACACACACACACACATATACACAAACACACACACACACAAACACACACACAAACAAACAAACATGCACACACGCACACACACACAAGTACACACACACACACTTATTTGGACTGGTTAGACAGACAATTCTCTGAATGTTTCGTTAGTAAAGAGACCAAATTTTTTCGATCAAGTCACACCTTGATGATCCTTCCAGGCGACCACAGCTTTCCCGAGGGGCAGACCGAGATGACGGTCCAGTGCGGAGGGATACGGGGGAGGTACGTCGGAGTGAGCCTACCCGGGAGTGAGAGGGTTCTGTCCCTGTGTGAAGTCGAGGTCTTCCAGGTTTCAGGTAAGAGTTGCGCTGTGGAGACTTGCTATTTAGGATTGTCTTGAATGTATACATGTAATGTCGAGCGCGAAAAGCTTCTCTCTGTTTTCGTAGATGAAAAAACCGCTTCGCATGTGACGTCAATCGTTTCAGCAAGCATTCTAAAAAGATGAAAGCCCTCATGTGTTGCCAACGCTTCAAAGACGCATGTTTTATCAAAAACTTAAGAACAATGGGACTCAATTACTAGCTATTTTCAATGGCAAAATCACCAAAACATGTCCACAAGATAGATAGATAGACACATAGGGCAATATCTAGAAGTGTCTGAATGCTAGAAATTTGACCATTGACCGTCCAATTGCAAATACATTATAGAATAGAATAAAATAAATGAAATGAAATAAAAAAGTACATTCACAAACCCATAATCAGCCAGTGTTTGCAAGGTAGATTCGTCTCACTGTATGTTTCTTGTATATCAATAAATGCCATACGTTTTACCTTGTACAATTGTTGTGAATAAAAGGTAATTAATGGTATTTATGATTCTCCTACCCCAGCTGGCTGGACGGTCATCCAAAGAAGAACGGACGGTTCGGAGACGTTTGCGAACCGAACCTGGTCCGAGTACGAGCAGGGGTTCGGCAGCCTAGAGGGAGAGTTCTGGCTGGGGTTGGACAAACTACATCGGCTGACCAACCAGGCAGGCACATCTCTGTTCTTGTTCTTATAGCGTTAGAAGAGCAGTGCGTGGCTCTGGCAACCACGCCGGTCTTCTCACCCCAAAAAGAGTTTTGAGTGCATCCATCTTTATTTGTGTTGAAATTCTTCTGCTCTCAACTCGAAGAATAAAGAGCCTCTGTGCTCTTTCATCGTTGATTCATTTCCCAAGCAATCTTTTCATAGGCGTTTTTGATGTCAGAACCGCGTCTATCTAGTTCTATGTCTGAATGGGCTAGGGTTAGGATTAGGCACGGTTCTGGATAGTCTCCGCTTATCCAAGAATGTAGATTTTGCCCCAGGCACGGTTCTGGATACAGAATTGATAGAGTAACAGTATCAGTAACATGGTTCTGGATCATGCACGATTCTTGATACAACTGTCTGTAACTTAAACGTCGTTTACTGCACAGAAAGGGTACATCCTCCGTGTTGATCTGACCGATTGGGACGAGTCCACGGCCTATGCGGAATATAGCAGCTTCAGGGTGGGGAGCGCAGCGGACAAGTACAGGTAAGGTTTTCAATAGGATACTTAGGTTGCTGTTGTCTTAAGCTTGTGTCAAAGTAAATTTTCAACTAGATCGACATATCTTATGCAAAATCTTTCAGCCAGATGATATAGTTGGGTAGTAGGGTCTTAGAACCTTTACCTCGGTATGTTCAATGGCATTAGTTCGTGGTGTCGTGTGGCGTAGCGGCAGAGTGCTCGACTCGGAACCATGAGGTCCCGGGTTCGAGTCCTGACATGCAACCGATCCTGTGTTCTTGGAAAAGGCAGTTTACACGACTTTCCCGTGTATTGTCGTGTCCTGTAGTCGTCCTCTGCGTTGGTGGCAAATAAGTTGATTTTACTTGAGTGTGCTGTCACTATGTCTAGTCTAGTCTAGTCATGAAATGTTGGAATGTACGTTAAAAGAAATGACGTTTGTTACCGTACGTTTTCCCCAGACTGGCGATCTCTGGTTACTCCGGTACCGCGGGTGACGGCATCACCAGACCAGACAACAACGGGCGGTACAACGCAGACGGCAACATGTTCACCACTCAGGACCAAGACAACGACGGCAATGTCAATAACTGCGCCGCATGGTCAGATACTTGTCAGATATGCAGCCTTTGAGTAACACATGTATATTTATACATATGTTTATGCATGATATGTGTTTCATAGAGAATATGATTTAAACGTTGGAAAGTTTATCTTGCTTTGATTTTGAATAGTTGTCTTCAGTGATTATCGCTTAATGCTACGTTAAGTCTTACCAAGAGGAGCTTTTTAGCAATGCGCCAGAAATATAACCTTCGGGTAGAAACAACGAACAAAAACAACATGAATCGTGACACCCGTTTCTTTTCTCTTTTTTTTTGTCTCCTGGAAAGGTTCGGGTCCGGAGGTTGGTGGTACCCAGATGGTTGTGGCGAGGTCTACTTGAACGGACCTTACAAGACCGAGTGTAGCTCCACGAGCAACCCCGAGTACAGTTCGCAGAACTGTCGCGCCAGGGGAATGAACTGGCTAGAATGGAAGGGATATGTCTCACTCAAGCACTCAAGGATCATGATCAGGCCGCAGGACTTCGGTAAGACATTTTTTTCGTAAAAAGATATGCTGGGGTAGAGAGAGCACTGTTAATGCTGCATCTTCCGGTTTCTGAGCAACTTCTACCAGGCTTCAGAAGCGGCTGTAAAGAGTAGAGATTGGTCAAATAAACAGATAACATGCCAGGGAGGTTGTTCTGCTAAAGGACTTCAGTTTGACATTCCATTTGCATGTTATCTGTCTATTTTGCCAATTTCTACTCTTTCCAGCCTCTTCTGAACGCCTGGTAGAGGCTATCTTCTTAGTACATGTAGAACGTTAGGAACAGATGGGCTTTGATAGGGATGGTTTGTCGAAAAAGGCGTTCTTGAAGGAAATTTTCTGTTCATAATGTTCGTGTCTTTCGAATGAGTGCAGATGACACAGTTGTTGCAATTATGTAGATGCTCTATATCTTTCAGCTTCTTAGTACAGATAAAACTGTGGGGACAGCTGAGCTATCCATACACGATTTGTCGGAACAGAATTCTGTCCTCTATTTCCATGTAAAACGTGGGTTAACTTTCCATGAATGTGCGATGCTTCTAGAATGGTCAACAAGAAGATTACGGAGCCTTGGACGGTGTGGACCCGGTTTCCCCCTCCCTGACGGCAAGTCGGCCGAGTGCGACCCGACCGGCAACATTAACGCCCTCCCTTGCTGTTCAGCCGGGGGACATTGTGGGATAACGTGGTCGCACTGTCAGTGCACTGGATGTGTGGACTACCGACCGATCGTAGGTACGTCTACAACTTTCTAGATTCTACACACTTTCTGTCCCAAGACAGTAAGCTTACAGCAATCTCTTCGCAGGTAGACACCATGTTGGCAAGGCTGTATCCAGCTGGATTCAGTTGGAAACGGCCTGGCCAACGTAGTGTACATGTACATGTCTTGCCCCCGAAGCCAGAGATTTGCTTGGAGATCACCCAAACTATTTGCCATGTTACGTCCTGCCAACACATGCTCTTCTTTTCTTTTGATTTCACATGACAATTTAATTAATATAATCATTCATAGAAAATATATAATTTAATAGAATATACTTGAGTATCCAACAGCTCTTACTGAGTACGTAAACTTGAAGGATGTTGTTTCAATCTCTAGGAAAATGTTATTTTGTAGGCACATTTCTTGCAAAGACACGAAAGAACTGTTATGTTACCCCAGAGCTTGATGAATGTGCGACCGATGTCGACGGGTGCGACCATATCTGCACGAACCGCATTCTCCGTGGACACGACTGCTCCTGCCGGGTGGGGTTTACACTGAATCCTGACGGGAAGACATGCAGAGGTAAGGCAGTCACAACGGGTTACTTTCTATATGGCTACGGTGAGATTTGGGTCTTTGGATGGGCCAACGCTACAAAGTACGGACGTT